TATAATGTATCCCGAAACTCCTTTCTTGTTATTAAGGCGCCTCATATTGGGGCTGAGACAAATCATTACTCATGGTACTGGTAGCTTGGAAATCAGCCCATACTCCAGAATAGGAAAGATGACAGCAACTGATGCGCGCACAGCCCGTGGCACGTGTCGGCTGTCCAATGCACGGCGACGGGAAATGCTCAAGCTTCTGACTGCGTTTGAGTAATGCTGTGGCCTGCTTGCGGGGGCCTTCACCCGTCTGCTGTATCGATCCGGCTGTACTCTTGCTTTCCGGAGGCTCTTAGCGGCGGCAGCATAGCCGTCTGCTTAAGCACAAAATTCCGCAACTCAACAGGTGTGTACGTCTGTGGCAGCTGGTCCTGAAGTTTCTGGACATGAAATCCTGAATCAGAAACAACAAGCAGCAGCTAGCTTGCGGTTACGCAATAGTAGAGATTGAATAAGGCTCGTGTGGAACAGCACAAGCACTTCAAAGTTAATTCAGAGGTGCGAAAAACTGTGACTTCAAGCAGGGGGACTTATCTGATAATTAATTGTGATTTCGATCCAAACTAATTTCGGTACCTGCAACTCGCTGTGTAGCTACTCGCTTAAGTCTGGGCCCAGGTTCCCTATAGCGGCTACAGACTCGAGAGGGGCTCGGTGTTGGTGAACCCCAAGATGTGGTTGGTGCGCCGGGTAGTTCTCTAAGTTGGGGTCCCTTTTAGGGTCATGTTTATAAGGGTGTCAGAACTGTGTCGTCTTCTTTTCAGGGACCGAGCCCGAATTTAGATAACTTCCCAAGTGTTGCAAGGCTACATAATAGCTTTCTACCGAAGGCCTTGAAACCTTCGCTTGAATCTTGGGACCGAAACCCTTCACCTTAACCAAAACCCCGCAACGGCCCTTCAATGGAGTCCATATGGCCCTTAATAGTGGGTATTTGAGGGTATCTTAGAGGGAACTTGGGGGGGTCTAGGAGAACTCTGAACCTTAAACCCTAAATCGTCAAAACTCTAAACCTGCAAACCTTAAATCACCAAAGACCTACCTCAACCCACCAGACCCTACTTTTTGTAGGGTCCCTATAAATCCCATACTACTAGTAGGGTTTCTAACAAGAGCCAACAAGAAAGTAGGGTTTAGCAGGTCTAGGTAATCTCCAAACCTCAAAACCCTAAGCCTGACAACCCGAAGCGCTGTGCAACAAAAGCCGGGGCCTGGCCACGCTGTGTCAGCCACAGATTGCCTCTTTCTCACCGCAGCTGCAGCCGACGTTCTTTCGTTTTCACATGTAGGGGTTTAGGGTTTAGGGTTCCGCAAGTTACTCAAGCGGTTTTGGGGATGTTTGCAGGATGTGTGTCTAGGGCGTTCGATTTGAGGCTCGCTGTAGGTTTTCGGAAGTTGTGCGATGATTTGGCGAACTCGGGTTCAGGAAGAGGTCTTGGTTTGCAGACGCAGGCAGTCTGCACATTCAAAGTCAGAGCACAATCTAAGCCTCAGCGCTTTATATCACGAAGCACTCATTGCAGCCTAAGCCGTCGTATTTCTCAGTCAGATCCGACATCTGCAGCAGCCGCTCCGAACCCTTCCAACCAATAGATTTGAGGCTTTGGGTGGACTTTAATGCTTGTAGGGCTAGGGCGTGGAGACGTGGACAGCGAAATTTGTAACTCTGCGCAGCTGCACGGGATCCCAGGCAAAGCAGCCATTAGACCACAACCACGTGTAGCGTCAAACGAGAACATGGGGAGGGAATGGGAGGGTATGGGATTCTCGGGCGTAGTTGTTAAGGCTGTAAGTATGCCTGATGTTTCTGAGTACCGTTCAGAAGGGGATGTAGGGTTCAGTCAGGTCTAAGATGCTTTTCTTGTGGGGCTGTAGGTTTCAGAGGTTTTGTCGGAGAGTTGGCTTTCATGCAGGACTTTACTGCCCTGGAGGCTGTAACCTGTTTGTGCAGCTTCAAGATGTTGAAGCGGAATCTGTTGAGGACGCGAGCATCCTCCAACCCCCAGACTTCCGAGCACCTGAGACCTGAGACCCTGAGCAGTCTCGTGCCGCAAGTCCTCTGATCTCAAGACGGCAGAAGAAGCTCCGCAAACCCGACCAGATACCCTTACGGACCCCTATAGAACCCTTAAACACCTACTGAAGCCCCTAAGCGCCACTTAAAAACCCTTATAAAATGCATAAGTTCTCGTCACCATGCGGGTTTTCGCTGCACTGGCCGCACATGGGGCTAGCGCCTTACCAGGCACTGCATCTTTGCTGCCTGTAAGGCTTTTAGCAGCTGCGGTATTTTGGGGCTGGAGCCTATAGGATAAAGGCCACACGTTACTTCCTTGTGGAGCCCCAATAAATTTGTTTAGGACTACTCGGTATATTATAGCTTAAGGTAGTTTCGAAGCTTGAATAATTACCAATGTTGATCCTTGCAGTAGTTCTTCATTTACGCTAAAAACTATAATCTACCCCAAAAGCACTGTTCTAGTTATCAAGGCCCCCATATTCCTAAACCCCACCCCCCCGACTCCCCTCTAATACCCTGAATACCCACTATAATGGACCCCAAGAGCTCCATTAAAGGGCCATTGCTTTGGGGCATCCTGGTTAGGCTGAGTTCGTTTGTGCTTTAGAGTTAATTTGGACTGTGGTGCCTCCGGAGGCCAGAGGATCGGGATGGTGGTTTAGGCGTGTAGGGTCTGGGGGTTTTGGGTTTAGGGTTTGGGGTTGAGGGTTGGAGGTATTTTGGGTTTGGTGGTTTTAGGATTTAGGATTTTTTCAGGGTTTGGCACCCTATCTGCCTTGAAGTGAAGTTTGGGGTTTAGGGTTGGAGTTATTCTGGGTTTGGGCTGCTGAAGTTTCGAACTTCAACTGCGAGCTTGATGTTGTGAGGCCCGGCCGTTGGCTGAGTTTTTATATGTTATTCCGAGTTTGGGGTTCTGGCATTCTTGGGGTTTTTGGAGAAGTGGTCGCAATTGCGGAGTCCGTTTAATCAGGAGACCAGGGTTTCGTGGGCTCTTTGTTTGTTGGAAGGGGGATGGGAGAGAGGGTGTGGGGAAGAGCGGTTAGTTTCGGAGTTGGTTCAGCCCAATGGGCCATTTCACCAAAGGGGAAAAGGAGGGACCCTTAATGGGGACCTCTACCCTTTAATGGGCTATATAATGGGTATATGATGGCTATAAAATGGCTATATTCAGGGTATATACCTAGGGGTCCTGAGTCCTTTTACCCTTGGATTTCACAGAGCTAAGGCGTTTACCTGGCCGAACGAGCCTCCTGCTGACATCCCCTTCGGTCGCAGCGACCTCTTCACGGAGGCCGTTAGCAGAATTCATGACTCAGGGACTTTACTGCTTTGGGGTTGTCGGGCCGTGTCGTAAGGTATTTTGACTACAACCTCCAATTTGCTTAGAAGCTTCTGAGCGTTTGGGTGTTTCTGAACAGGGCTGCTGTACAAGACATTGCGGTTACAGTTACAGCTATGTACGTTACATCACTTCACCTGCTCGTTTGGATCCTCCATCTTTCTACCTCTCTTCTATTTGTAAACGCTAGACTCTATTCAAAGGCAACTGGATGGTCCTCAGTAAGCGCCCATGCAGGCCTGAAATCTGCATTGTTCAAACAAACCTGCTTTGGGTACATTGAACCACGGACTCTCCGAAGCTAGTCTAAATTTTCTTCCTGGCGGTCTATGTGTGAAATCCTGTATCAACCCTTGATAAACTTAATTTAGTCTGAAGTCCCAACGGTACGATCTTTTCCCCTGCCAGAACTATCTTCCAGATTTCATTTTCGTCTAGCACTGGGTATGGTCTTACATACATCATTGGGACCCCTACAGCTCTCGGCGCCGATCAGGTGCACTTCACTGGTCGCTATGCAGTCTATGCCGGTGCAGCAGCTTGAAATGCAACTTAGTTGACCCGAGCACCAGCAGCACCTTGCCACATAAACCTTGGAACCCAAGCACGGAACCCTTCGCCTGAACTTTAAACCTGCAACCCTATCCTAAATCCGAAATAACCTACCCTTTTAAGGACTTATATATGGAAATCATAATAAGGAGCCCAAAAAAGGCAGGTTATTCAGGGTTAAGGATCGCATCCTCCCTCATCCATGCTTGAACTTCCCGAGCTCGAAACTCATAAACCGCAACCGCTTGAAAGCCCCAAGGCTTAAGGCCTCAGCGTCAACACTCCTGGGAGTTAGGACACCTCTACAAACTCCTAACTGCGTCCTTAGCCCAAAAATCCTGCGAGTTAAGGTTTAGGGTTTAGGGCTTGAAAGCCCCAAGGCCTAAGGCCTGAGCGTAAAAAATCCTGGGAGTTAGGACACTTGGTATCCCAGCTGGTCCTCGGATGGCGATCTCTACACGCCCTGGACGGATGGTAGCGTGGGCAGTGTCCGATCATCCAGCGCCTGCGCAGGAGTGGTTACTGTCGGGTTCCTTTTTTGGGGTCTACAAAGGGTTACTATAAGGGATACTATCAGGGTACTATAATGTAGGGGCCTGGAAGAGTTACCTATACTATTTTGGGGCTGCCTTTTTGCAAATCTAGTAGTATAATCTACCCCAAAACCCTATTCTAATTTTTAAAAAACACCTACATTACAGGGGGAGGGGGCTGTTGGGGATTTTTGGGCTTGTGGGATGTTGGGGTTCTGAGGCTTTCGAGTTTGAGGGTTTTTTGGGGCTATCGGGGCTTGGGGCTGTGGGGGGTTTAGGGCTTGAGGATGTTGGGGCTTAACAGGGTTTGCTTTTGGATGGTTCTGGGGTTTAGGAGCTTGAAGGTTTCTGGGGGAAACTCCTGAAACAGCAAAAAGCAGCTTCAAGAATGGGATGTTGAGGCATTTGGCTTGGATCAATGCAACAGCTCGATGACCCTTTTTTTCATATCGGCGTGCTACCAGTAGTTCAATTAGGGTTAGAGGTCGATATCTACTTATATGACTGTAGATACCTTACTTACAACCCTACTTTTTAAGTTGTTGCAGGACCGGCCTGCATGTCCACCACTGGCTTCGCCAGAGCCTCTGGAGACGATCCATTCAACCTGAGTATCGAGGACGCTGAGGGGCTTGCGAGGCTCTGACCGAGTTCAACGTTGCAATAAAACCCCGGAAACTTGAGCCCTCACCTCCAAGCTCTAGCATCTGAACCGCAGACTGAGTTGGCGTGGAAAGGACAAAGGCTGCAGATGCGTACATGAATGATGACTATGCGGCGCATACCAGCAGCAAGCCACTCAATGATTATGTAAATCTCCGATACTTGAAACGAAGGTTAAAGTCACCAAACTTTTCTTCAACTGAAGCACATCAGAAAGTCCACAGAGCCCTATCTTCGGGTTTTCTCAGTGCAGGGCTCAGGGCGGCAATGGAAAAGCAAAAGAGAACTCAGAGCCTCTATTGGCCTTTATCCTCTGTATAAGGCCCTAAAGCAAATCCTCTTGAAATCCGTTACGAAACCCTTGTAGATCCATTATGGAACTCCTGAAAGAAACCCTATAGAACCCTTCTAATGCTCTTACACACCCAAGTCTTCATAGGATGTCGGCATCTTCGAATCGTCTCCTTCGCCGTGCCTCGAGCTGTTGGTCAGGGTCGGGTACTTTGAGGTACTGTACTTGAAGGCTCATGGGACTTGGTAAGTAAGTTTGTAAGCAAGGTTACAACGGGGATAATTCAACCTCCCAAGGCACTCTTAACCACAGTTATAACCCTACTTTCTACCCTGAACCCTTCAGTAGGGCTTCATTGCGCGGGCTATTCTATCAGGGTTTACATGGTTTATTCAGTTTCATGCATAGTGATTGGTCGGAAATTTGTATGAACATGCAGGCTTTAGGATTATGCAGGTTATGGTGTGGAATTGAGTTGGTTAATTATCATGTTCCCAGATGCTTCCTGTGGCAAGACTGGGCGAGACCTACAACGCTGCATCTTCTTCGCAACCCTCAGGTACCACGGCCGCTACCCCAGTGCTTCGCTGCACTATGACGGCACCTGGTACTACGGGACATATGCTCTCGACAACGATGCTCGGCGTGAGCTGGTGTAGAATTCAGGGTGCGGGGTGTTGATCTGTAAGCAAGAAACATCCCGGAAGCTTACCTCAAGTGTGTCCAAACCAGACAATCCTGACTACCGCCGAAGTCTTGAGTCCCCTAAACGCCCTGAATTGCATAAGCATCCCTAAACTATTAATTTCTCCACCCCCTCAGTCCATAAACAGTGTATCCCCCAAGTAAGCCCCTAATCATTGTAGAGCCCAAAGCTCTGGGAGGAGAACCACGAGCCCGGTGACGCACCCGAGGGTGCTGACAGCAAGGAGGTGGATTCTAGGAAGTTAAGGGTTTAGGGTGTATAGGGTTTAGGGTTCAGGGTTTGGGAAGGCGATAGGGCTTCTCAAAGCGATTCACGGGTGGGAAGTATCGTAGGTGACTTCAGAGCCTGACACCCTATAGGCCATATGCCCTGAGGCCCTGAATCCGAGATTTACGTCCGCAGACCCGAACAAGTAGGTCGAACCTTCTGGTCACATGCAGGCTGCTGGGAAGCTCCAAACGGCGGGCTACTGCGGCAACTGGTGCATCTCGCGCGCAAAGTTATCATCGATGCGCAGGATCCAAGTATCATTATGGTATATACTTATGGGGTATTTTGGGGTTTTAAGTATCTACCATAATGATACTTGGACCCTTTGGGTGTGAGCACCAGGTATCCAAGGGCCCTTCGTCGGCTTCCGCTGGAGCCGGGATGGAGGCAAGACCTGGGAAGAGCCCTCGGCCGAGACTTGAAGTAGGGTTTAGGGTTTAGCGTTTAGGGTTTAGGGTTTAGGGGTTTAGGGTTTAGGGTTTAGGGTTTGAATGAGAGTTCTATAATATATAAGGGCGTTTATAGGGGCTTTAGGTTGGGTTTAGAATAGGGCTGGTTGACATACTAATGCTAAGGGGTCTCTAGGGGTTTGGGGTTTCAAGCTTCGGGAATCGCTGTTCAAGTTGGGGTTTCAGGGCATGTGGCTGCGGGTTTTGAGCTTCTGTTTCGTCGCCGCTTGCTGGGTTTAGATCTTCGCACCAGCTGGAAGTAAACGGATCGTGGATTTTGCCGCGTGAACGCACCTATACCCGAAGCACAAGCGTCGCCCTAGACCCTAAACCCTAAGCCAAGCCCTGAAGCATACAAGAAGAATCCCAAACAGAGGATAGCTGCACGGAGCTACCTCGCTTCCTTGCGCATACGCATCTTCCGAGCACTCATTGTAATGGCATGACGCAGGCAACAAGCTCCTTGAAGAAGCTAGCCAGCACGCACGCAGTATTCGATCATGCAGCAAAGGTTGATAGAGCCTCTCTGTTCATAAAGCCTGCACAGCCTAGCCTTGAATTTCAACCCTACAGCCCCCTGCTTGCCGCTGAAACCTTAATCCGAAAGCCCTATTATAGAGTCCTAAGCCCTAAAACTCTCCCTCTCTCTCACTCTCTCTGGTCTCTCTCGCGATCGGAAGTCCGGTGTGACGCATGCAGGCCAAAAGCAGGCATGCCTGCAGCCAATCCTAAAACCCTAAATCCGAAAGCCCCGTAAGGAGCCTCGGAAGACGATGGCGAACTACTCGGACAACCTGTTTGGCGAGGCCCAGCTTGCCGTTTACAGGGTTATACCGAAGAGCTCGAATAAAGGAATGATCTGCTGATGCCTCTTTTTATGTCGGGGTGTAGGGTTCGGGCTTGACGCTTTTAGGGCTAAGGTGTTTGGTTAGGACTTCTCTACGTACGTTTGGGGTTGTGCAGGTCGCCCGGTGGTATATACCCTAAGACCCTACTTGTCATTGGGGTCTCGCTTCTCGCAAGCAAAGATTGGCGAAGGACATTCTCGTTGTGGCGGGGGGGGGCTCCTGGGGAAGCCGGGACGTGACCTCTAGTCTCGCTTGTTGTTGTTGGTCTCATGACGAGAGTACCTTGTTGATGCTTTTGGCAGTGAGTGGACTGTTGACGTTTCTGGCATCAGTTGTACTAGTTCTGCGTTGACGTATGCTTTTTTGCCAACAAAATCGAGACATACTGGTAGTGGTGTCATTCGTGGAATATCATGGTTCGTCATTCCCGTTGATGATCATGATTGGCAGTGCTGATGCTGGTATTTCCGACACTGCGATGTTGAGTGCAACCGCTCAACCGCTGCAATGCCCGTGATTACCGCGGTCACCATATAATTAAGTAACCGCCTGTTTATCTGCCGATCTATCTTCCTATCCATCTGCCTATCTATCTATCCACCTATCTGTAACGCATCTACCTATCGACCTGCCTACCTCTCTATCTATCGCTTACCTCCCTGCCTCCTCCCTAGCTGTGTAGCTGTCTTTCTTTGTTCGTGAAGTTGTTTCCATCTGCTTATCTATCTGTCGGCTTATCGACCGATCTATCCAGCTAGTTAGATAGCTAGCTAGCTATCCATGAGCCAGTTAGCTAGCAGCTGGCTAGCTATCTATCCGTTAACATATGAAACAGATGTGTGTATATATATATATATATATATGTGTGTAGAGAGAGAGATAGAGAGATAGATAGATAGATAGATAGATAGATAGAAGATTTCGTTTTGCTTGCAACAGTTCTTAGCCTTTGGGCTTCATTGGCAGGTAGAAGCGGGTGTGTTTCTTGACGCTACCTGCTTGAAGGTAAAGGCTTTGCAGAGAAGCAGAGAATATGGTTACCCCGTCCCTCTTGCCCTAAACCCAAACCCGACACTACTTCACCCTGCATGCTTAACCCTAAGCCTTAAATCTGAAACCCTGAAGCCCTAAATCCTAAACCCCAAAGCCCCGCAACGTGCTGGACGCGGAGGGAGTCAAAGTCCACTGCACCGTTAACAAAATGAATCCTAATCGCTAAACCCTGTAGCTCTATGCAGTCGGAAAAGTGCCCCCCCAACAACAAGAAAACAACACAATTAGGTCCTAAACCCTAGACCCTAAAGCCTTAAACCCAAAACCCTAAAGCCTCAAATCCTAAACTTCGTACCGCTTCTGAACCCGAGAGTTCCTCCACAGGCAGCGCCGAACAATCGCAGCAAGGCGTGGATCGGTGATGAGGAGTTAGGTTCATGCGTTAGGGGCTTAGGGGTTGAGGGGTTTAAGGTTTGGGGCCTGGGGATAAGGGTTTAGGGGTTTAGGGCAGTTAGTTGAAGTTTCATGGGTAAGGGGTTGTAAGGGGGTTTAAGCTTCAAGGCATATGGGATTTAGTGTATGGGGGTGGTTCCATGTGGGTTGAGGCGTTGGGCGTTGGGCTTTATGCAGAACCCTTTCTTTGAGGGCCTAGACTACGATAACTATATACGATTACAGCAGGTCTATTCAACAGGTAATTGAAGTTCCACGGGTACTGTGAACCTGGGCCCTGTCGAACACCGACTTCTTCAGCGAGTCTGAAGGACCAGGATACAGGGTTTTGCGTTTACTTGTCGAAGTGCCTTTGATGCATAGAATGGGGGCTTGCAAGCAAACGAAATACAGATGTCATCACTTGGAACCCTAGTTGAGGGACTTGTAAGAACATACTTGTTTACTTGCATGTTTTTTGCAACATGCCAGCGAGGCATGGAGTTTCGGGCTTTCGGGTTGTCAGATTGCAGCGTGGGGCTTAGGTGTAATTATGGCTTATGGCTGCGGCCGAATCCTTGAGTCCTAAGTACCATAAGCCGGCATCATTCGAGCCCGGCAGGTGAAGTTTGGGGCACCGCTGCTGGAGCTGCAATTGGCAGAGTGAGTGCTCGGTGAGGGAATCTGGCAAGGGGGGGGGTTATGGATGAGCCTTCTTGTCTCGAAGCAGCCCCATACGAGAAAGCTTTTTCAACACCAGGAATACCTGAAAAAGGTTATTATGGTAATTATACCTAAACCCTAAACCCTAACTGGGGCTGTGTAATAACCCCGCGCCTCTTCGTTCTGTGTTCGCTGGGCGCCTGTTGGAAGGATAGTGTTTTGGCTGGAAAAACGATAAGAAGAAAAAACGATAACGTCAGTTTATGATGCCAGTAGTCTTGTACATTATTTGCTGCTGATGGCTTGTATGTTGTGCATTCGCCGCGCCTGCAGAGTTCCACAACTCAAATCAAGCAGCTTCATCACAACCCTCACGAATGCATTTCGCCAGGGATTCTAAATGCATTCGGGCCCGCGCACTCAGGGTTGGGAGGAGCATGGACCACGTTGGGCTTTTTCACGGCGATTTGAACACGCACTAACCGCTTCGTCACCAACCTCGCGCATGCATTTTGGCACGGATTCTAAACGCATTTGCTCCCTGCACTCGGGTTTGGGAGTGCGGGGTATCTTGGGCTTTTACACGGCGATTTGGGCACGCACGAACCGCTTCGTCACCAACATCACGAATGCATTTCGGCACGGATTCTACATGCATTCGGGCCCGCGCACTCGGGGTTGGGAGGAGCATGGCCCTTAACCTTAAACCTTAACCCCAAACCCTCATCCCAAACCGCTTCGTCACCAACCTAACTAATGCATTTCGGCACGGATTCTAAATGCATTTGCGCCCACGCACTCGGGCGTGGGAGCATGCATGTCGGCTGTTCACACGGCGACTTGGGCAACCGCTTCGCCGCCAACCTCGCGAATGCATTTTGGCACGGATTCTAAACGCATTTGCTCCCTGCACTCGGGTTTGGGAGTGTGGGGTATGTTGGGCTGTTACACGGCGATTTGGGAACCGCTTCGTCACCAACATCACGAATGCATTTCGGCACGGATTCTAAATGCATTCGGGCCCGCGCACTCGGGGTTGGGAGGAGCTTGGGGGCAAGTTGGACTTTTTCACGGCGATTTGAGCACGCGCAAACCGCTTCGTCACCAACCTCGCGAATGCATTTTGGCACGGATTCTAAACGCATTTGCTCCCTGCACTCGGGTTCCCTGCCCCTGAACCTCAAACCTTAAACCTTAACCCTAAACCCCAAACCCGAATCCCTAGCCCTTAACCGTAAACCATCTTAAACCTTAAACCTTAAACCTGAACCCCGAACCTGAATCCCTACCCCTTAACCTTAAACCTTAACCTTAAGCCCCAAACCCGAATCCTTACCCCTTGACCTTAAACCTTAAACCTTGACCCTAAACCCCAAACCCGAATCCCTACCCCTTAACCTTCAACCTTAAACCTTAACCCCAAACCCTCATCCCAAACCGCTTCGTCACCAACCTAACGAATGCATTTCGGAACGGATTCTAAATGCATTTGCGCCCACGCACTCGGGCGTGGGAGCATGCATGTCGGCTGTTTACACGGCGATTTGGGCAACCGCTTCGCCACCAACCTCGCGAATGCATTTTGGCACGGATTCTAAACGCATTTGCTCCCTGCACTCGGGTTTGGGAGTGTGGGGTATGTTGGGCTGTTACACGGCGATTTGGGAACCGCTTCGTCACCAACATCACGAATGCATTTCGGCACGGATTCTAAATGCATTCGGGCCCGCGCACTCGGGGTTGGGAGGAGCTTGGGGCCAAGTTGGACTTTTTCACGGCGATTTGAGCACGCGCAAACCGCTTCGTCACCAACCTCGCGAATGCATTTTGGCACGGATTCTAAACGCATTTGCTCCCTGCACTCGGGTTCCCTGCCCCTGAACCTCAACCTTAAACCTTAACCCTAAACCCCAAACCCGAATCCCTAGCCCTTAACCGTAAACCATCTTAAACCTTAAACCTTAAACCTGAACCCCGAACCTGAATCCCTACCCCTTAACCTTAAACCTTAACCTTAAGCCCCAAACCCGAATCCTTACCCCTTGACCTTAACCTTAAACCTTGACCCTAAACCCCAAACCCGAATCCCTACCCCTTAACCTTCAACCTTAAACCTTAACCCCAAACCCTCATCCCAAACCGCTTCGTCACCAACCTCACGAATGCATTTCGGAACGGATTCTAAATGCATTTGCGCCCACGCACTCGGGCGTGGGAGCATGCATGTCGGCTGTTCACACGGCGATTTGGGCAACCGCTTCGCCGCCAACCTCGCGAATGCATTTTGGCACGGATTCGAAACGCATTTGCTCCCTGCACTCGGGTTTGGGAGTGCGGGGTATGTTGGGCTGTTACACGGCGATTTGGGAACCGCTTCGTCACCAACATCACGAATGCATTTCGGCACGGATTCTAAATGCATTCGGGACCGCGCACTCGGGGTTGGGAGGAGCATGGGACCAAGTTGGACTTTTTCACGGCGATTTGAGCACGCACAAACCGCTTCGTCACCAACCTCGCGAATGCATTTTGGCACGGATTCGAAACGCACAGCTCCAGCGCGGAGTGAAAAGGTCTCCATCGGAATCCTACCAGACTAAGCTTGCAGCTTCAAATCCCGTATATTTAAACCTACTTCACGCCAAAGAAGCACAACCACTGCCTTCGATATACGAATGTTTCCATGTCCCGTATACTACAGTTGTACTACACTTCAGTAAGAGTTTCTTTCATGGGAAAACGATAAGAAGAAAAAAACGATAACGCCATTTAGCGTATAGGAACTGAACACGGGGTTTTCACACCACCCCAACTGTACCCTTAGCAAGAGCCCACATAGGGATGAACTCAGCGACCCATCCCCAAAGGCATGTGGTCGACCTTGGCCAGAATTTGGAGCACCAGCCGAATGGTGCGTCTGATCCAAGGCAGGCTGGTTTAGGGCTTAGGGTTAAGGGTTTGGCGTAGGGTTTAGGTTTTAGGGCTTTGGGTTTAGGGCTTGGGGTTTGGGCTTCGGGCACAGGGTCAAAATCCGAACATCTCAGGTCAATCAGTTCCCTTAAAGATTTCTTCAAGGGACAAAGTCCAAAAAGAAATTTTTTGTTTGTGGGGTTAGGGTTTTATGAAGGTTCTATGTGTATATGGAGGTCATCTTAGCACCGAAGAGGGGGCTCTTCCGGGTTCTCCTGTAGTCTACTCTCCTGCCCTCTTCAATCTGTTTTATCTTATACTGGGGTCTCCGGTTTAGACAGGGTCCCCAGTCAAGAGGTTACTTACTGGAAGAACCTTGGCTTTGTGGCACAGACCCTCAGAACCTCAGAACCACAACCCCTTCAAGCCTGCGCTTCACTACTTAACCCTGTTGGAGTCTCCAAGGTCTGCGCCAGCCCTTATATCGCCCTTATAATAACCCCACACCTCAGACTCAGAGTAACCTCAAACCCTAAAGCCCTATACTCCCTTATGCCTATCCTAACACGAGGGTCTGAGACCCCAAAACCAGGCTCTATCTCGTGGGACACGGGGCCTCGGCGCCGATGTCTCCGACCTCCTGGATGCAAGGCTCCGAGGTCTACCTGGCAAGAGAACCTAAGCTGAGAAGGTTTAGCAATGTTAGGGCTGAGGGAAAAAAATTCGGGTTTAGGCGGCGGTTTAGGGACTTGGGTTGTTTATTCTGGGTTTTAAGGCTCTGCGGTCTATCTGGCAATGAGAACCGGGGCTTGAAACAAACGATTCTAGGGATCAGGGTTTCATAAACATCCAAAGAAGCCCATAAATGTGTGTTACTGTGGAAAATAGTGGGGCCTGCCTGGAAGACTTTGGGGTGGGCATTCGTTTGTGCGTTTGCTTTGTTTTTTCTGGGGGAGGGGGGGGCTTTGGGTTTAGGGTTTGGAGGAAGTTCGGGCTCAGGGGGATTGTATCAAGTATGAGAATATTGAGACATCATGTGCTTGGTTTCTTACAAATTACACCGTACCCTTCCCCTGTTTGTTGATGTCCTTGCCAAGGGAAGGCCGGACGTAGAGCGCATCAACGATGCTGCTGCGTGGGAGTTCTATGCTGGCCGCCTGGTGGCGCAAGGGGCCTTTGCAAGCTAAACGAATGAAATCCTCTTGCGTTAAAGCCCAAGCCTCGACCTCCTAAACCCTAAACTCCAAACTATCAACTTTAGTTATTCTTCTGATGAGTATCCAGGGCATATTGATCGGCGATGAAGTCAAAGTCCTGAGAGTTGAGGGGGTTACGGTTTGGGTTTTACTGTGTTGGGGTCAAAGGTTGAAGCTCCTATTACTAGGATGCCCAGTAGTACCCTTATTCCCTTTTTGTAGTCCTAGGTTCCTTATAACGTTACCCAATACCAAAAAGATAGGCCTTTTTATTCTTAGGTTACTGGGTATCCTAGATTATGAACCTTTGAAGAATTGGAAGATTGGAGCAGCTTACAGCACCTGAAACCCACACCCTGCTACTTGGCAATCCCTTGCCTTAAGCTTCCCCTAAAGCCTAAACCGTAAACCCCTAAACCCTAAACCCTAAAGCCCTAAACCCCTAGACCCCTAAACCCCTAAACCCCTAAACCCTAAACCCCTAAACCCTAAACCTTTAGATCCTTGCAAGCCAAGGGAACGGCAGCTGGTCTCCTGGAGACGCCTCTCGCGCTAAGCCCCTGGTGTCATGGGGCAATCGCACTGGGGTCACCACCATCACCTACATTCCTGCGGTGAAAAGGCGGAGAGGGGGTGAGAGCTGTGAAGTTGGCTCTTTGGTGGTGAACTTCGGGAGTTGAGGGCTTTTGGGTTTGGACTAAAGTGAGCACCGTGCCGCTGAAAGCATCTTCGCCGGATATTCCCTAAAAAGTATCTTGAGTGAAAGTGTTTAAGACCAGACAAAGCTTCTAATTAAGTTTCAGCAGCGGTGCTGTTGAGGTTGTTGGTGGGTCACTCATTGGAATTAGCTTTCGTCCTGAAGAGAATGTCACGAGGAAGACCGTTTTAGCAGGATGAGTTCGGAAAAATCGTGGGTTGTGGGGTTGGCCTTGTTTAGTCTCAGGCATCGGCTATCAGACTCGGTCTGAAAGCCACGATTGGTAAGCCAGGTTGTTCGATAGATGCACACTGATTCTTTTAGATGCCGCTAGGGCCGCACCTCGACTGGGACCGATAACATCAGCAGCAGTGTGCAAAGGTTAGATCACTGCAGGCTCTGATCGCGGCGCAGCAGTGCCAACTTCAGAAATGGCTGAATGCCGCCTTTCAATTCTGTCTGCCAGGTACATCATGTGCATTTCAACACCCACCTTCAGTCCCTTCACAAAGAAGCAGTTCGACACGTATCTACTGGAGAGTCCGAACATTACAGGGCCATTCCGCTACATCAGCTACCTTCGGGAGACTCGTCTGCAGACTGGAGTTGATTCTCCGTAGGCAGTAGCCTGCCAATCTTGCGCAGAAGTTTTAGCTCTAAGTTTATGAATTCCGTGCACCCAAAGCAAAAGATCTCCACCCCGAGACTTTCTCGTATCGCTCGTATCGCCTTGGTACAGAGACTCACCCAAGTTTCTACAGAGCTGAGGAGTTTGGACCTGAAGCATACTTCGTGAACATTCCCAGCAAGTTCGTTGCGAAGTCCACGGGCTTAGATGGCTCTCTTCGCCTCTTCCTGAGACTTGACTGCCTCAGGGTAGTAGTACAGTAGTAGTACAATAGTAGTACAGTAGTAGAATGGTAGTACAATAGTAGTACAGTAGTCTTACAGTAGTAGACAGTAGTAGAATGGTAGTACAATAGTAGTACAGTAGTCTTACAGTAGTAGTACAGCAGTAGAATGGTAGTACAACAGTAGTACAGTAGTCTGACAGTAGTAGTACAGTCTAGCCCACCCCCAAATGGGTCAGCAGGCCCAGCTGCAGGTTTGCTTACGCATTCTTGCTTATGCTTTCTGGATCACCTTGGCTTGAGCTCTGGTGGAAGAATACCTGAGCCCTCTCACGCTCGATCTCGCTCTCGCTCTCTCTCTCTCTCTCTCTCTCTCTCTCTCTCTCACTCCATCTCCCGCTCCCCGCAAGCTGCAACGCCTACCCCAAGTCTGCGAACCCCTAAATGTTGATCCCAGCAAGCCGCGGGTTGTTCCAGGACCCGGCATGAAGAAGAGGTCGGAAAGCCTCACCCAGGAACACAAAAGTCACTACAGACTGTCACGCTTTGATGCGGTTCTGCCACGGACGCCGAGCCATAGTGGGCACTTGCTCTTATAAATGGGGTCCCTGTTAGGATTCTTCTTATGAGGATGCCGCCTTGATTGGGTTCCAAAGAAGCGACCCTCATCCCTCACTCCTAAACCCTAGAAACTTCAGGGTTTAGGGCTTAGGGTCCTGAACCCTATAAACCCTAAACCCTATAAATAAGCTCTAATGTAGGAAGCTGATTAAGAAACCCTGTGCTTATCACCCCGAAATAGTAGGGATTCATATAAGGAACCCTAATAAAGGCCCAAGGTTTCTTGATCAGGTTCCTACATTAAACCATAAACCATTTAGAGAACTACCCATATAACCACTGAGGAGCTACTCCGCCAACTTCGCCTACCGTAGCCAGCCGGCGCCTGTGGGCAGCGGCTATCACTGGACCCTGCAACATGAGCATAGTTAAGGTTTAGGAATTACTGGTTAGGGTCTATGGATCCTCTTCCACTCCAATGTAATAATGTATAACTGGTTAGAAAGAGTGCAAAACGAGCTTCTTGTCTGCTTTTCCCTCCTTCAAGTAGCCGGGACCAAGGCAAGAAGTGGAGCTGAGATTGGGCAAGAGCCAGCTTGTGGTTTAAGGGCCTTCCCTCTGGACCCTGCTTTGCCATCGTAGAACTACCCTCGTCCGACAGCGCCGTCGCTCAGGGGGTTTCCTGACATGGCTGACCAGCCGACAGCGGTGGCCGAAGTTGGAACAAAAAGCTGATTTGCTTGCCTGTGCGTTCAGGTGGTTAAGGGCATGCTAGCAGATAGCATGTCTGAGAAGAGGCTGTCGGCACGCTGAAAGTTGCATTGCGTTCAGGGAATCGCAGGTTCGCAGGCACATACCTTCAAGCCGGACATGCTAGACCTTGCAACTGCAAGGCCCTGACCCTGAATCCCTAAACCGCGAGCCAAAACGATTCCAAAACCCTGAGCCTTAACATAGGTCAAAGGCCTCAAGCCCGAAATGCACCTTGAACTGACTGCTTGATCCTCTGAACTCGCAGCTTTGCATCTCAGAGACGCGGACTTGGACCAAAAGCCCAAAAAGTCATGTGAGATCCATCTAATCCGAAGGCCCATGTGAAAGGGGTCTGAACAGGTAGTGGTATTCCGCAGAGGTCGATCGGATGCTTGCAGGATAGAAGCGCTGAAAGTCCTAAGTCTAGGCCCTACCACTAGGCCCTACCAAACCGCTAACAAGACAACTCAAGCCCTAAACCCTTGTACCGTATAGTATCATACAGACCCTAAGCCCTCTAACAAAAATCTGATGATTCAGGCCCCTGTACCCTAAACCCTAAATTCTTCCTTAAACCCTAAACAAACCCCTAAACCCTAAATTCTTCCCTAAACCCTAAACAAACCCCTAAACCCTAAAGTCTTCTCTACCACACCTTCAAAGCCCGTGCCATGGGTCCTGAAATCGGCGCTGCAGAGCAGCTGACCGACGAGATCACATCCGTGTTGGCGCAGATCCAGGCGACTACGGGGCCTTAATAAGCTTTACACTATAGGGGTCTATAAGGAGGGACTATGCGGCCTTGCTGAGCTTTCTGATATAGGGTCTATAAGGGCTGCTTCTTCAGGATGTAGTAAAGGGGCTCAAATGGTCAGAATGGGGGTTCCGTTTTAAGCGGTCTATAGGGGCCACTATACGGGAATTATTTAGGGGTCTATAAGGGCTGCTACAAGGGTGATTATAAGGATTTAGTATAGAGGCCTGCGGCCTGAATAGTTGCCTATACTATTTTGGGGGGTTCCTTAGTATGATTATAGTAGAACGGGCCGCCAAAACCCTATTCTGATTATTAAGGCTCCTTGGGGCCTTACTGAGCTTTATAGTGGCCTGTGGGTTTTTTTTACTCGGGCCGTTTAAGGGTTTTGACCAGGGCTCTGTAGGGCTTTGATGAGTCTTATGAGGGCTATATACGGGTTCTAATCCAGGTTTTATTACAGGGCCTGAGTCGTTGGAACCATCACTCGCATCACCGGCACACCCTAACCTGATGACAACCGTGCTCCACAAATCGCCAGGGAAATAGGTCCACACAGTATTTCTAATCTTCAGGCAAGGGTTTGGTGTTACCGCGTCTCAAGCATTCCAAAAAGCCTTGACATTGGTCTTTCAGGGGCTTTCTATGGGGGTCATGATTCGGTTGGGTTTGTGGGAGCTTAGTCCTTTGTTACGTTCTGTAGATAGTCAGCTGCTTTTTCCATTTGAGGTTCGGGGCTATTGGGATCTCGGGTTGGGGCCCCTTGACATACATCTCAATCCAATGGTAGCCTTGGTCAGACAACCTTCGGCAGCACCACTGACTCACTGTCAGAAACTTGCAGAACTCGTGATTTGGGATGCAGCTTGAAGGCTTCAGCAGAGAGTGCAGACACGCCACTCGGCCATGAATCGTTGTAGCTTGGGAGTTTGGACGTAACCTGGAATGCAGGGAACTAGGGTTTCAGGCAAACGTGTTGTGAATGAACGATAACACCTGGACGCGCTAGTTGGCATTGGAGTCTGGTGACTTAGGTAAAGTCTCTCCCGGATGTCTCCCATGAGGTATGCGTGGAATTGTGTGGACATACCCAGTTCTCTCAAAATCCTTTGGGCAATGCTAAGACTTTGCTACGACTCACCAGCCCTGAACCCTGAAGACTGGCTTGAGGTGTTATCGAGAATCTCCAGGGTGCCAACCCTTTGTACATCTCTAACCCTGAAACGTTTTTGTGGTTTAGGGTTTGAGATTTAGGGTTCAAAGTTTCTGCATAGCAACAGCAAACTACAGAATCTACAGCCGGTGATCGTCGCTGTAGTCTCAGGACAAACGGTAGAGCTGAGCAACACCACTATGCAACACGCGAGTGGCAAAGTAAATATAGAGTACACAAGAAACAGGAGATTGAAAGCCGGCATACATGCATGTTTGAACATCCACCTGCAAAGTAGAAGCAACGACTGTCTAGAGCAAGTGCAATTGCACAGGCAGAAATTGAAAGAGTCACAACCGGCATCAAGGAATGCTATTGGGCAGCAAACGAAAACAAGCGATGAAGAACATATCGAAATCCGGTTGAAGAATCAGCATAGCACATGTATCATAAACAATGCAAACAACGAGTCGTATCCGAAACCCTGGTTATACACGCGTGGCCCAAGTCTTGAATCCTGAACCCTAACCATAACCACTAAACCATCCTAAGCTCTTGACCTTTCAGTAGTCTTGTAACATTGTAACCCTTAATGGAACCCTTATGCTACCCTGCGGGCAACCTTGCCAACAATAATCAACCCAAACTCTACCTAGTCCAACCCCTCTAAAAATTAAACCCTGCACCGTACCCTCATCGAGCGTTATCAGAACTATTCAAAAGCCCCAAAACCTAAACTTTAAACCCTATCAAAATTTAAGGAGAGTCCGCTACTTCGGCCGGCTCATTGAAGCTCAGCGCGCGGCGCTGGAAGCTCACGGCCTCCCCTCTTTCGCGGTCTTTGAGGAGCCGCATTGGGGGATTTTAGCGTTTGGGGTTGTTTTGGATTTTTCTGCGAGGTTCTTTTCAGGATTTTGGCATTTGGGCTTAGGTCCAGTTTAGGTTTCAGGGTTTAATTTGGACTTTGGGTTCAGGTTTGGGGCTCGGGGTTTCCCTATGTTGAGCTTTGAGGGCCTGGCGCTGTGTCTTAAAGGTCCCATCAGAAGATTTATTGACCTTCTCATTCTCACCCCGAAACGATCACAAAGATTGAGGAGATTCTAAAATTACCAGGGTCTGGAATCTAAGTAGGATGTTGAATTCTGTGCTGTTCTGATGTTGGGCCACAACTCCTGTGCCATCTCTGAGGATAAGCTCATTCCTCGAATCGTACCAAGACACCCGCAACAGTAGGGGAGGCGGGTTCCTCGCGCCCGAGGCTTTCATCGATGGGGCAGGAAGCACGTCCTTTCGGGTTTAACAATACTATAGAAGCTTAAATAGTCACCAATCTTATTCCTCAGGGTTCCTTTTCGTAGCTATAGTAACAAGGAGCCCATAACCCTGTTCTAATTATTACGGCCCCTACCTTAACCCACCGGAACCTACTTTGTTTGTAGGGTACCTATAAATCCCATATCAGGGTTTATAATCAGAACCCAAAAAAGTAGGGTTTAAGTAGGTCTAGGTACGTTTGGAGGGCTGAGGCTGGGAGACCTTGGAGCTTGCAGCCTCAGGAACTGTGTCGCAAAGCTCCAGAGGAAGAGGCCGTGCGTCGAAATCGGGGCAATACAAAGGGATCTATAAGGGTTCCTTTAAGGGCTCCTATAAGGGACCTATAGGGTTTAGGGTTTGGGAGTTTCCGAAAATGAGGGGTACCTGTAGATTTTGGGGTCCTTGTAATAGGGATCCTACTGTTTAAGGTCTTAGATTAGGGTCCCCTATTTTCGCAAATCGCCATGTAGCGGCCTGCACACTGTATCACATTGTTCCTGCGGGCTACTCAACACTCAACACAATGATGAATACCAGGCGCTGTTCTAATCATCAAAGTCCCTAGATTAGCCCTTTCTGACATTTGTTGTTCCGGAGGTAAAGGAGGTTGTCTGCAATGGTTCTAATGCTGGCAAAGGATAGACTGACGGATGCTTCCGAACATAGGGACTGCTGGATCTTAATGATAAATACGGCAGTTTTGTAATGGTAGCTTCAGAAACCTCCTGACCTCGCGAAGATCCAGCTCAAGAGACTCTAAGACTCTAAAGGTTTAGAGTTTAGTGTTTAGAGTAAGAGCCTTTCCCCTCCGAAGCTCAAAGAGGCAAGACATGTTGAGATTGTAACGAGAATTGGTGCGAATCCTGGAGGAGGGAACTTCAGGATGCAAGGCAGCATAATGTAGATCATAAGTAGTAGGACTAGTGGGATCCAAATCGTAAGGACCCCCGAGCAGGGACCCCGATTTTTAAGAAAGCTCCGCATCCTGTACGATAAAAATCCTCAGCTTCTGAACCCGACAGCCGCGACCTCAAGCAACGCATTTTCGACTGAAGACTGCAACCTTTCAACCATGAGCCTACGTATAGTCTCCATTGTAGTTCCTTTTTCTGGTTAACCAAAATCTCCAGTATAGGGTCCTAGCCATAAAACTGTTAACCCAAAAAAGGAACTCTATACAATGGAGACTAGAGGTACACTCCAGGTCCACATCCCATCCTCTCTCGCTTAACCCTAGACCGGAAAGCCTTTCAACTTCAGGTCTTCCCAGCCCAAAGGGGCCCAAATCGCAAACTCCTGTGAACCTGTACTGAAAAACCCCGAAGATACAAGCCCAAGACATGAGAGACTGCAAATTCCCCCCAACTCCTGTTCTAATTTATGACCATCAAAGTCTTGAAGGCACCGTTTACAGCCGTTTCGGAGAAAAAAACGCTAAATCCTACTGAAGCGTTTTCAACCAATCCGTCTTCCGATGAAGCCTACAGCCAAAGGCAGCAGCCCTCAGTCGGTTGGCCCTGGCGCAAGACGCCTGGCGCCGGACCTTGGAGAATTTGGAGGCAGAGGCCAACCGAAAGGCGCGGGGTGGAGCGGGGGTCAAGGCTAGCTTGCCGGGTCGAGGGTTTAGGGCAAGGGTTTAGGTGGAACGTCTTTGGGTGCGCCAACCTTATCATATCTTGAACGCGGAACCTTTATACCATTTATATGAGCCGGTTCCAAGGTTAGGGATTTACAAGGCGTGAAGCACTCGTAGGCAGGCTCATTTGGCCAGGACGTTGCAGCCGGGATTCGAGACAACCAGCCTGGACTAAATGCGGGCGGGCTCGCGTCCGGAGCAGCATACATCCGAATCCATAGAGACGTTCATCCTAAAAGCCTTGCGCTCGTAATTTCCGAAAACCTCAAATCGCGAGGCTTAGACCGGACAGCAAGTTGTAAACCCCGAAGCCCACCGTAACCCTGAAGAACCTACCTTTTTAGGGTTCCCTTTTATGATTTCCTTATATAAGTCCTTAAAAGGTAGGTTCTTCAGGGTTAAGGTAGACTGGACAAGAAGCGTGCTTCGTCAATCTCGATGATGACGTCATCCCTACACTCGGTTCTGATTGAGGGTACCACAATCAGTCAGGGAGCCGTTCATCCGCTATGCACCCGTAAGTTTATGACCACCAGAACCCCAGCAAACCTAAAGCAGGCGCAAGTGCAGCTGCGACGCAACGACACTCCGCCGGAGTTCTCTCTGCCAAGTACCCGAGGTGGCAAAGGGCCATATATGTTGCCCTTGATATTCCTCCTATCGGTATATATAAACACCCCGAAACAAATTTTGAATATGGGGGGGCCCTCTTGGAGCATCGGGAATCCTAACAGGTCGGTCCACGTGATTATTCCAAGTTGAGAGATCAGGGTCTCAGGAGTTAGGGGCAGCAGCGTTACACGGTTCAGGGTGTAGGGCATTTAGTGCTTGGGGCCAGGACTGTGGATTGAGGGTTCTGGATTTTGGGGGCTTGGCTCTTGAACGGCTCATGATTAGAGCCTTAAGCCTCATCTTGAGATTTAGGATTTTGGGTTAGGGTTGAAGGTTTAGGGTTTAGGGGGTCGTACAGGTTTCGTAATGTCCAAGGTAGAGGTTGCAATAGTTGGACGTAACTCCGGTCCCTATCTGTACAATATATATATATATATATATATATATATATATATATATTTATAGAGAGAGAGAGAATACATTACAATGGACTCCAAAGACCATTTCTGGTTATCAAGGCCCCTCAGTACAGTGTAGCATGCATAAAAATTTTACGGTCTACTTTACAGTCGCCATTGTTTCGAGACTCCCCAGTGTTGTTTGTGGAAGGGGACCGCGTCTCTCTGCAAGACATTCTGGCCAAGAAGCCCAGGCCTCTTGTCAGGGCTCGATATAATAAGAGGCTTTAGGGAATGCTGTGAGGATGTTATAGACTTTAGGGCGTGGGGCCAGAGAAATGGGTCTAAGCTACCACACCATGGATAAGATGCGTTCCTGACTATGGTAATCTAGATTCGGTTCCTCAACTAGTTATTCTGTGATATTTCAACACTGAGGATCCTAGCAATAAGAGTTTCTGACTGCTGAGGCTTTGCAGTGCACGGGTTGGACTGATCGTACGGGCTTCGGAAGAATGGCAGGCATCCTGTATCCTCTCCCTTAACCAAACTCCCTAAACCCGCAAGCCATAGCCCTCCTCCTACCGAGATCCTCATGTAGAGGCTCCTTGTGTTCATGCTGCTGAGACCTCGAATGGGGGCACGCCACTGCGATGACCTACTCCGCTGGAGATGGGAAGCCCAGCATCGAGCCCGATGCAATGTGGTCGTATGTTCCGGTAAAGGGCCCGGGCGTATGTGTAACCCCGAGGAGACGCGCCTACAGTGGTTGTCCTTGCTCATGGCGGCCTGACTGGTGCGGCGTACGGATAGATCGCCCAAGCACTGTGTTTGGGTTACCCAGTCAGCCACCGAAGCTTCCGGGTGTTCCTCCGCATGCTGCTATATTGAACTTACCTTTGGTTAGTAGGAAATGGAGGAATGGGATACAATTATAACAACTATTGCTACCATTCTTCCATTCCCGACTAACCGAAGGTTAGTGAAGGCGGGTATTGGTACCAGATCTTGATTTGTGTCAATCGCGCGAGGTACCAACAGCAGCTTGGCAGCTCAAGGCAGCAGACGCGTGTGGCGACGCCTTTCGTGAAGATCTGCACTGAAAGGTTTGGTAACCCCCCAATGCCCTGGTCATGAAGCTGGTTGCTATAGTAATTACCCAAAGCTTGCTGACATCTTATATACCACAAAACAGGTTCCGAGGTGCAAGGCCGATACATCTGCCGAAACTCGATTGAAATATGATCCTTCGATCCTGCTGAGCGTTACCTAGACCCCCAAAAGTAGGTAAAATAATGGCCCAAAACCTATAAAAGGCGATTCGTCTACATTATTGTGGGGTCCAGGTAAACCCGGACTTGGGACCCCTGCTGGGCACAGCGAAGGCTGACACTTTCGTCAACCGAAAAACTCACCGCTTAGACTCAACATATCTCAATATCGTGGTCCTATATAAACCCAAAACCCAACACCCAATCTTGTCGTAATACATGGTCTTCATGATCAGAATGGGGTTTCGGGTTGCTTCCTAAGCCTTGGCTGAAGCGCCCAAACCATGAGTCTGAGAGTTGACATCTAGGCGTTCAAGGGGTTCTCAATGAGACACTAATAAGAGACTAGGGTAATGAAGGGTTTGTCCTTAAACAGATCAACCCCGCTCAAAACCCATATTCTTACCCTAAGACTTGACAGTTCTTGCTTCCAGATTCCAGGGGGGTTCTCCTCGTTTGGTTGCGCCACTTCGGCTGACTTCCCTGTCCGGGCCTCGGCAAGGCTGTGCTTTAACAATTGGAGGTTCAGGGGTAGCTATAAGTGGTGTTAGAAGTTCCCTAATATGGGTTATAAGTATAGTTACCCCAATTAGAAGCCGACCTATAACTACCCATGAACCTCCAAGCAGGATTTGTTCAAAAACGACGTGGGCTTACTCAGGACCTTTGGGGCCTACCGGGCTTACAAACTGCGGTCTTTAGACTTCAGCCTCTTTGCGGGCATACCCTACCAGAGTTACATGAGCTTACAGGCTGGATGTTGTGGCCGAGGAGTGTCGGAGGAGTCTTGTACCTGTTCGTTGAATGCCACACGACATCCCAAAACCTTCGAGCCTGAACGCACACACCCATGGCTTCGCTCTTGGCGTCTGGGTTGCGGTCCTCGGGCAACCAGAGTTTGGTTTTGCCATTGCCCAGGACGCGACCATGTCGCCGCACTTGCGGCACATGCTGAAGAGCTGAATACTCTTGGGGTGGCGGTGGTTGTGGAAGCTCGGTCGCAACGATTCTGGGCTCAGCCTCTTCGCAGCTGTCGACTGCATTCGGCTTCTAAGGTGTCCTGGTATTCTGTGGATCTGTTCTATATGACTTTGGCTCGGAGCGAGGATGGGTTCGGGTTGGGGAGTTGGGGCTTGGTATCTATGTAGGGTTTATGATTTTGTGATTTCGGTTTAGGGTTCCTAGACCCTCCATCTACCCTGTATTAGACCCTAAATGCCCCTTATTTGGGACCATATACCCCTATTTGAGGGTACAAGGAAGGTCCTGGTTCATGATTGAGAGAGTGCGGAAACTTTGCAATTCGGGCCCTAGCTTCAAGCCAGCAGGCCTGCATGACTGGGTGCGGGGCTCCTGGGGTGCATTGAACCCCAATTTTAGGGTTTAGGGTTTAGGGTTTCGGATTTAGGGTTTACTGTTTAGGGTTTAGGGTTTGCTTCATTTTGAGGGCATCTCCGGCTAGGGTTCAGTTCTGGGGGCCCTACATACCAAGAGCCCGTGTTGGGCCTGGGTATCGCCGCTTCCGACTGGATGCTCGGGGTAAGGGCCATTTTTCGGAAGCTAGCCTTGTTGTTTCGGCAGTATCCTTCTGAGCCTCAAAACCAAAAAGCCGCACATCCTACAAGCCCAAAACCTAAATCTGCCGTAAACCCGATACCCCCAGGTTCCCCAGCAGTACCCTGTTGCCCTTTGTCTTTCTGAGTTCCCTTATTCAAACCAAACAGTAGGAAGAAGGGTACGCTCATAATTGAGGGGCGTCTGGGGAGCCTACTGTAGAGGCCCGCGGCACGTAAAAGGAGTACTTAGAAAGCTATATTGAGCTAACCGGGAGATAGAAATACATATAAGTCAGCTGTGTTACCAAGCAACGACTAACTGCGAGAGATGTTTCTGGCTCATCCCCTTGCTTCATCAGAAGATGATGTTTCAAAGTGTTTATGTTAACTTCTCCTAACTGTTCAAACAAATTCCAGCCACTTACAGGAGAATGCGTGTGCAGCTAAACTTTGCTGCGAACTTATATGCCTTGCAAGAAGTTACAACAAATAATAAATTCCCACCAACTTTGCTAAACTTATATGTGCTTGTAACAGGGTTGCAAGCCGGTTATAACTTCTGCACAACTTGCTGAAAGACAAGTGGGCCTCTACAGTAGACCCTATACCCCCATCCCAAGAAGCCCAAATCTTGGCCACATGAAGGTTAGCTTCTGCCCAGATGCCCGCACGGCACAGCAGTGGGACGAGGAGCCGTCGGAAAAAAGGAATAATTAAGAGTTGACCTTATAGTTTGCAGGGCTTCGGTTTTAGGAGCTGGGTGGGATTTGGGGTCAAAGGTTGGTGTCCGCCTTTAGGGTGCTGGGTTTAAGGATTTGATGTTTAGGGTGTAGAGTGTTCGGCTGTAGGGTTTTTGAGTTGTTCAGTGTTCAGGGCTTAGGGTTTAGCGTTCAAATTCTTCAGATACATTCAGCTGGCCGTTTTCTTATGCGTGGAAGTTGTCCTTATGACCCGTTCCGTTGTGGTGGTCGTACTTCATCAAACTAAAGGCGGTGTTGTTTTGCGTCTTAGGGCTGTCGGATGCAAGGTTAGGGCTTGCTGGTTTCACGGCGTCTCGGGCATTCGGGTTTTGGGATTTACGTCGTATGATTCAGTGGTCAAGTTAGGACGTCAGGTTTATGTTTAAGGTCCTGGTTGTTTTTTTAAGGCCTGGGGCCTTCCGTATCATGGTGCGTCTGGTAGGGATTCGGGGCTATCTGTAGCCTACATGAAGTTGTCAGTGCTCACATGACGAAGCAAAGGAAGTTGGATTCGCGTTTCGTGTCTCTGCCGGATTCAGCTAAAGCGGGATCCGTCATGAAGAACAGAAGTGACCCAACCCTAAGCCGAAAAGCCTGAACCGCAGATCCTGAACCCTACTTCCAAATCCCGCAAGCCATAAGATTGCGTCCTGAAGTTCCTAAACCCATACAGTACAGTAAGGCACGCAAATCCCCGAGCAGGAAGTGGGATCGCCTTTTCTGCACCTCTTGGATCCCGCGACGCCGGGAGTGCCAGGGGATGCTGGCGAGTCCTACTTGCCCGGGGCTTGGACGGATCAGTGTTTGACCTCGAAATGGGAGTTTCCGAAAATAGGGGACCCTGAATAGTAGGATCCTACTATAAGGACCCCACAACAAGGTACCCCTGACTTGCGGAAACTCCCAAATGTACAGCATGAAAATGTGTGAAAAGTGAATGCAGCCCCAGGAAGCCTTACCGAAGCCCATAAAGTCCCTTTACAACCCTCACCCTACGCACACCGACGAAGCCTCGAAAAGCTTTAGACGTCCCTGCAAGGCCCAATCTTGGTGCTTTTGTGCAACTTTGTGGGCTTCTCAGAAACACCGAACCCCCGAAACTCCAAAGCATAGTTTAGGGTTTATATAGGGTTTAGGCTTTACGGACTACGGTGTATAGAAACCATAAACTCATGAGACCCTGAAGCTGATCCTGGTAAAAGCAAGCCGTGGTAAATACAGAGCTCTGCGCTGGCTAATGACAGATATTGTGCCTTGAACCCTAAGCCCTAAACCCCTAAACCCTACATAAACCAGAGACCCGGTTCCTCAATATATAACTAGAGACTCTAATGGATCCCAAACCAGCATGGGAATTATTACGGCCCCTATATCATCGAACCCCCATAGCAAACCTTTAATTTACAAGGAACACGATTCTAGTGATCAAGGCCCGAAGATTATACCCTGAAGAGGCCCTAGGGGCTTTCGAACCCAGAGTCTGCCAATACTCCTAACAAAGGAGCATGCCATAAATTTAGAATAGGACTCCTTAGTAGGACCCTTAATATCATGTAAGTTCCTCCTACATGAGAGTAGGACTCCTTGAATAGGACCCATGAATATCATGTAAAGGTAGGTTCCTGAATTCAGGTCCTGGGGCTTTCGAAAGTCCTTCGCGGGCGTCTGGTCGCCTGAATCTTTGCAGTTCTACAGTGACCAGAAGCTGCAAGGGCGCGAGCTGCTCCTCGTTCCAACTTAATATAGGGGGCCGAAATAATAAGAGTAGGGTTCCTTTCAAGGGCTCTATGAAGGTTACTATAATATAGGGGCCTGAATAATTACGAACGCTATTTCGGGGGCTCCTTAGAGAAATTTATAGTACAGTGGCCTCAAAACCGTATTCTAATTGTTAAGGCCACTATATTAGTCGGTTTGCTGGGTCTGGTGTTTGGGGTTCAGGCTTCTGGGGCTTTACAGTAGGTTTTTGGGGTGGTGTGGTTTGGGCTAGGATTCAGGCTTAAAAAAAACGCCTGGAGGTCGTATTGCAGCCTTGATGGGGGATGAAAGGACTCCGAAATGCGAGAGTAATCGGAGTCCCCAATTTCGGAAGATATGGTACTGTATCGGTTTAGGGTTTAGGGTGTAGGGTACTGCCTTGCTGATTCGGAGTCATGGATTCAGTATTGAAACTTTCGCCTGCCCAAACCCGCTACTCCCCGAAGTAGCTCTCAAAACCCACAGCCGGGCCGAGGCACCCGTCCAATGGACAGGATCCGCACCGCATGGGTGGCGACATTCTCCTCGATGGACGGGGTCAGGCGGGCTTCGGGGGAAAGCCTTTCGAGGGTCTGGGAGTTGTTCATTCAATTTTGAAGTCGCAAGTATCTGACTGAACCCTAAACCCCAAAGAGCAAGTCGAGGTGGTGATGGCCCACTACTCCAAGTCGACGCGAGATCGGCCAAGCGTGGAGGAGCACTGAAGTGTGTTGTGCCAAACGCTCCACCCTGTTGTGTTTCTAGAGTTTTGCCTGCTCGAGCCTGTAGTGGTCCATGGTCTCGACCCTAAAGATCTAAAAGTTAGACCCCGTCGAAAGGGCATCCTATGAACAGATGCTTGGGTTTCGGGTTTAGGGAGGGCTCACGGCCAAGATTCCAGGCTTTGGATTCTGCAACGGTCTAGGGTTAAAACCAAACTTCAAGCCACACACCCTAAACCCCAAACCGATCAAATACTAAACCCCAAATCCTTACTGTGGGCTCTGGGATCAGGAGACTTTGCTTCCTCTGCTGCGCGGCCTTCCGGCGCCCTCCTTGCAGTCCGGGAGCTTCTGGACGCTGGGCGAGACTTCCAAGAATGAAGCTCTAAGGGACCCACCTAATATAAGGGCCTTTCTTTCTTTCGGGCAGGCTGAAGGTCCAAGGGACGTGCCTAAAGCAAACAAACACAGACGAATTCTGGAAACCCACGGGTGTCTGTATGCACTAGCACCGATTTACGTGAGCTGCGCAGAAATCAGACCTTCCCGAGGGGCGTGCGAGGAGCCTATACCCGGCAGCTACGCGAGCCAAAAGCCGTATCTCCAGCGCTCAAAACTCAAACATGCGAAGCTTAGGAACATAGCATCGACTACAGCACCACAAAGGTTCTACTATGTGCAGTAGAACCCGTAGCGACCGGCTACCAAGCACTCAACGTCCTG